GAGTTATTCTGCTGCTTGAAAGAGCTCCCGTAGTGGTCCAGAACTATAATGACGCTAGGGCCACTGTGCCGAAATATGGAAAACCAGTCTTTCCATTACCTGCAGTCAGATTGGACGAAATGGACGACCTCTTGGCATTGTCGCTAGGCGCAGCTCGTCTCGGTGGGGGCATTTTGCTGGTTACGCTCCATCATTGCCGATGTCTCCGGAGGCCTCTTCAAAAGCAGCGCCCGCGTTCATTTGATGTTCCTACGCCCTCCTTAGATATCGTAGCTTTGTCGACAAGGGTGGAGGATGTACTAATTTCGCAGCTCAAAAATACGAGAGGATGGCGCCACCCGCTTGTGAAGAGGATGCCGCCCCGCCCACTGGCTGCCATAACTGCTTTGGCTTAGCCTTTAAAGGCTGAGCCCGCTTTCAAGAATAATGAGTTATGGAGCTCATATAATACGTGATCCAGTAGTGAAGAAAAAAGCAGAAAAAATCATGGAAAATGCCCTATATAGAACCCTATGCTGGCCAGGTGGGCGGGGCGGCACTCTTCACTAGCGAACGGCGCTATCCTCTCGCCTTTTTGAGATGCAAAACTAGTACATACTGCATCCTCATAGGGAGGGCTATGATATCCAGAGAGGGCGCGGGAACATCAAATGAACGTGGGCGCTGCCTTTAACCCTGTAAAGCTATACAATAGCATAAGCTCCTTTTACGCTTGACAAGAGTCTACTGGTATCACCAGGGTGAGAAGTACTATTCAAAAGAATTTAGCAAGGGAAATAAGCTAAAGTCCAAAAAGTAGCCAAACAGCGTGTTGCCGCCGCTTCATCTGAAGTCTAAGGTGCAGTCAGCCGGCAATGTTTCATGACACAGCCATGAGGTCGGTGCTCTTTGCATAGCGGGCAAAACTTATAAAATTTTTTTACGATATTTTGGATCTGTTGCCCAGGAGATAACACCTCAAGAGATGTCGAATTCTTTTTGGGAGCCGAAACCATCAAAGCAGTAGCCTTTCTGCTCATAGATATAATGCAGAGTGGTATCGCCTTCATAGGGTAACTAACGGTCGAAAGAGGGAACTTCCGTCAAGTTTGACCAGTCGTGCGATGGAGAAACAACAACAAGATCGCTGGAAGTTTCCATGGTGGCAGTATCAGGCTTACCATGTTCAGGTCTCACAACAGGAGGGTCGTATTTGGTCGCTCAAGGGAGGAAGGGGGTCGCATTTGCTTTTTGGGTTTCTAAGAGAAAATACGCCCACCCAGCTTGACAGCAAAATTTTTGGGAAAAACTTGGAGAATTTTCGGGAACTTCCGGAAGAACTCCTGGAAAAACTGTTAGGGTTGGGAAAAATCTAAGAAAGTGATAGGTTTAATGGGAGGAGGATGACTGGGAAGGGAGGGTGGGACTACATCCCCCGTGATTTTTCTCGTTTCACATGTGCTTCATACCGCCCCTCCCCCGCTCTACAGAACGATGAGGAGGGAACTATAAAGGGGGGAGGTCGTATACCCCCAACCAGTGATGTGCCCTAGGAACCTTTCGTGACATTCTACCTGTCAATGACTGCGAGGGCTTCTCTAGAAAGCGCAGGATAGGTAGCAATGCTTTTGGGATGGGCAGTGGAATGTACCTGGAGGGTGTGATCGGTTTCAAGCCATTCCCTCCCCTTTTGGAGGAAGAATTGGCTAGAATGTTTTCGGTTTACAGTTGGTTCAATTAGCGAGAGAAATAACGAATGCTCTAACTCATTTCCCTTTCCTTCTTTTCAGATGAGTCAGTTGAAGGGAGCGAGGAGGCAAAGTCCAGCAAATAAACGACCGTTGAAAAGGAAAAAAGGCTGTTAAAGCAGCCGTAAAATGTAAACCGGAACGATGGACAGAATCTGTTCCATTTGCATTTCTACGAAAAGGAGGCATGATATCTCTAACAATCAAGGGCGCTTCTCTGGAAAGGATCAAGTCTATCTAAAGGCAAAGTCCGCAATCAGTCGCCATCATAGATGGATCAGGAGTCTGCACATAGATAACTAGGTTGTGAGTAATTCGATAGTGAAGAGAAAAGCAGAAAAAAACTTGCCGACTGCCCTAAATAGAACCCCATTCCGATCCCAGTTTGTACGTGCTTAATTAACTGCATCTTCAACATTACGCCTTCATCCGCACACCTGATTCCCCGATAAGAACTCTACAATGACAATTTTCATGCTTTTCCGTCCTGGCTTCATTTTTCACTGAAAGGTGAGCCTTGGGACGGAGTCTGGAGGCGGAGTCACTGGAAAAAGGAGGCGTCACTGAACCTATATTGCGCTATAGCGCCTCTCCCTTACAATTTTTTGATGCGAAACCGGTTACTTGATCGCGGACCGTACCTTTAAAAACTACGGTAGCAGTGGATGAGTATAGCAACCTGTTTCTAAAGTTATTGACGTGGGAAACATTATATGAGCAACTTTGAGGCGTTCAAGTAAAGCTGTAATTTAAACCAGTGTCAGTGTTATAATCTCAATCGATGTTTTGTTATTCTTAGATGGCACAGTGATTAAAAGCGCTATATCGCATTTACATTGTCCGTGGGCTCGAATCCATCTGCCGGACCAATGAATTCCAAAAAAGTGGGTGAGTTACCACAATGCTTGTTGATGAGGGCAAAACAAAAAATTTGGAGACACCCAGGATTCCGTCAGCGCGTTCAAACACCTCTGCATTCTAGAGACGGAATTCTAATTCGTTGAAGAAGGCATGATCCGTGACAGGGAGCTAAGGAAAGGGTACTGAAACTTGTGAGGGAAAAATGCCGAAGGGAACGGAAATGCCTCTGATAGGATACCCTGGCCTAAAGCAATTGCACGAGTACAAGGCGAAAAGGACCGCGTGTAGGAACGAATCAGCTGATTCCTTATAGTGAGCCTGGCCCCACTGATGATAGGGAGCTTCTATTCCATGCTGATCGCCCGTTAACATCGTTTCTCGTTGTAAAGTGGACTTTCAAGGCGGAGTCTGGAGGGGGGGGAGGAGTCACTGAAAAAAATAGGCGTCACTGGAGCATCTTAGCGCCCTAGCGCCTTTACCTTACAACTACCATGCCCCTACAACTACATAATCTTTGAAGGCACGGTCCGCGATTAGGAGCGGAGGTAATGGTGTTGAAATAAGGAGCAGAAATTGCCAGGTGACTCGTCCGTGAAGAAAAAAAAAGAAGCAAAGTTAGAAACGCCTCAATATAGCCCCACGGGTATGTGGCAAGAGAATCGTAATTCGCTGTGGGGCGTCGCGCACGACGTCGCGCACGCTACTGACGACATTTTTGGGTGGTATTGTTTGAGAACAGACAATGTATGACCAAAAGTAGACATAAGTGTCTACCATGTTCCTTGTCTACATGAAATCCGATGCTCCAATCGAAAGAGGTAGTGCAAATTGAGGAAACGTCGCGCCCATTGCCGCGCGCGACCAAGCGGCAATTCACGATTTTCTTGCCCGTCTCCCGATCTCTTGTGACGATTCCTCTGATCCCACAGAAGACAATGGAGCATCCATCATGCTACCTCTCCGGTAGCACCGCTTCTGGCAGGAAGGTGGACTTTGTAGGTCTGGAGGCGGAGTCACTGCAAAAAAAGGGAGGTGTTGCTGTGGCAACTTTGCGCTTTAACCCTTTACCTTACAGCTTTCCCCTGTCAGAGTGGCTTAAAGTGATCAATCCGGACCACACTACCCTCCTTATACAACCGTATTTTCATGGGTCCTCATGGACCATTTTTTTCAAATGAAAATGTGAATTTTTCTCAAAACTTTCCAGACATCCAGTAGTAATGTGATCACTATAGTGTAGACATTTTCAGTTGAACGTACTTTGAACGTTCAGTACGAGTGTAATCAGTGACGTGCGTATGATTGTAGTGAGCAAAGAACCAACAGCAGACACCAATCGGATTTATTATCTACACATCGGCGAAGGGAGCGCTTTTTTTTGTAGAACGAGTTTCGAATGACATCATCATGCCTACGACCTCTATTATACCCATAGTATCGCACATGAAATTATCAACAATTTGATAAGTTCACAATATCGATCGTTATCGATTTTGAGCCGCGCATCTGTATGCGTCTGTATCTCGAATACCAACGTTACACATGTTTGTTGAGTGACAAAAAGCGCTATCTATAGCGCTCTTCGACGCTCCAGACACTATCTGACACGTTCCAGAATAAACAACAATAACAAAAAATATGTGAGTGAATTACACGAAAACGAATAACTCAGCTGACTACAATATGTTACCAGTAGATAAGACACTAAACTATATCCCTATCCTAATTGATTAGACTGGATATCTCGACCCTTTTTACTCATATCAGCACTTGGGTTTGCCTCGTCGTTTTTCTGCACCGTGAAATTGTTGAAGATATCGCACACCCAATGAACTTGCGTCTGACCATTGCTTGAAAGAGTTCACATGCCGAAACAGACGTTGCTTTGATCGACACCAACTTTCGCCCAAAACCACCTGCAATAGAAATAAGTTAGTTACTCGTATGGTAATTCTCAAGAATGATCAACTTTTCAGCTTCATAAGGTTAGTTATCCAGTGGCTTTGAAAATTCATGCCTATACTGGACTAGTGCCTGAGGCGCTAGTCCAATATAGGCATGAATTTTGAAGCGAAAGTTTGTGGATACACGGTAATGAGGGCACGTCTCTCCCTGCGAAGGGATCGTATTTGGACGCTAGAGAGCGGAGAGGAGTCACATATGCCCTCAAGAAAGTTTTTGTTTTTGTTGACCCTTATCGGTTTTTTCTCCTGTTTCAACTAAGCTACCGCCGACTGCAGTCTTCTGGGGGAATTCGGAGAAACCAACTTTTAGAAGAAACTCCGGAAAGATGTTAAGATGTTGGGAAGCTGGGAAAACTCAGTAAGGTGGTAGGTGGGATGAGAGGAGAAAACTTCGACGAAGCTCGTACTTTGCAAAAATTTCCCCAACTACAGGAGGTGCCCTAACCGTGGTCCCTCTTTCGTCGCGAACAAATGCAAGGAAGTTCGATTATAGGCCAGACTAGGGTTCTCCTCTCCCTTTTAGACAGCGTTTAGTGGTGGAATGATCGAAGAAACGATTGCGAGCGAAAGGTTTGAGACTCTTGCTTTGGTCTACCGGGATGAAATGATCTTCAACCGCTACCCCCTCCCTCCCCTGCGAGGTTTCTCAACAGTTTATGCCAAAAAGATCGTAGACCTTTTACAGTGGTGAAGTTTTGAATGCTCGAGATGAATATGTCATCCTAAACTAGGCTAGAATCATATCAGGCTTGTCTGTCTGGATAAACTTATAGTAGTGAACATCGCCACATTCTCATAAATCGCTGTACATGTGGATGATGCATTCAAACAGCTCTACGATTACAAGTGGAAATCGATGTCATGGCGTATCCCGAAAGCCTAGGTCGAATTCCGCTCAATACTCCCAGAGTTCCTTGAATATGTATCATGTCGTACTGTTTTTCCTTTGCTTCCTGGCTCTTGGGTTTAGCCTCATCCTCACCTCTGATTCCCGGTTTCCCACAAAAGTCCTCACAAAACATCTTCAAGTATGAAAAATGGCACTATTTACCCTTTACTGCCCCAGTCATCCGAAATCAGGCCAGTTCTTGACCGACTTTTTTCTCCGTGAGGCAGAATTGGCTGAAAATTTGTCTTCTGGTAATTTGAACTTTGAATATGAATATCACATCCGCTCGGCACGAAAACTTCTGGCGCCACAGGCGCCGGCGCCAAAAAACCCTAGATCACCAAATTCGCTGAAAACTTGTCTCCAGGTAGTTTGACCTCCTGAACACGAATATCATGTTTGCTTGGAAGAAACCTCTTGACGCGCGCGCCACAGATGTCGGCGCCAAAATATCCCAAATCACCGGCGCCTGTGGCGCGGGCGCCAGGAGGTTTTGAGGCTGAACGAATGTGATATTCGTATTCAGGAGGTCAAACTACCAGGAGACAACATTTGAGCCGAATCTGTCCACGGAGAAAAACCCGGTAGTGCATCCCGCCTTGTACGGCTGCTTGATTGTTAACCAAAATAATTCAAATGATTGATTATTAATATATTTGGAGCGATCTTATTCCATTTTATCCGCTTCCAACATAAATTTTTGCAGTTTACTGCGGCCATAAGATTCCCGCCTTTTTTTCTCGGTAGCATTCCTCAACAATAAATAAAAAAAAGGTTTACACTAAACCGTTGACACGTGACGCTCCATACAACTGTCGCTGTTTACCCTTGAGCCAAATGATGGATGCTATTCGTGAACGTAACCCGGAAAAAATATTACCTGTAAACATACGAGATCTATCTCCTTCTTTTGGTAAATCATATCAACTGCTACAGCGTAGTGAATGAGTCGAGACAGATGAGTGAGTTGTTGAGGCTGGAAAATCTTCCTCAATACTAATCAGAAACTTTCTTAATAGAGTTTCTTTCAGCCTTTCTACGACAAAATATGCCTCCATTTTACTTACATTACTGGTAACGATGAACTGTTTCAACGCTGGAAACATGGGGCCAAGCGGCAGTTGGCTTTTCGTCATAGGCGCGATGGTCGTCTCTTCACAAGTGAAATCCGCATCACATTTACGATTTTGACTGAAGAACAATAACAATGCGTTGATTTTCTTTGTGTTCACCTGAATAATGAGGGATATAAGTGTGTGTACAAAAGATACGTATCGATGGATTAGTGGTCAACACTTACATCTTTTACGAGCAGTTCAACAATTGGACTATCCATATGTATGTGTATCGCGTTTTCACGGAATACTTGTAATAAAGCGATCAAAATCCGTACATCTTTCCATTTCGGTCGTGAATCAAGTGCAATGCCAAGTTCGTGTGTATTCATTTCGCTCAGCAAAAGGCAACCCGCAGGGTGCCAGCTAAGCTCGTCTAAAACATATATATCGATTGGTGATATGAAGCGTGTATAATTAGAAAAAGAGTTGAATAAGCTGAAGGCGGAGAACACATATAAGGTTCCTACAAGACTGCAGAGTTTATTGCATTTAGGAAGTGCGATGTCACGATTCAGGTACACGCGAATCCAGGGCTAAATCTGCACCGGTCCCAACTTATAAGCCTGCTGTACTGGGTAAGATATACAGATACGGTCGTACCATTTAGGTTTTTTACGTCGCTTAATGTGAAAAATTGCGGGCATTTCGATACAGCCGGATCTCTGCAAACGATAGGGCGGTGATGCGGGGCGGGTTGCAGCGCAGACAGGACGACCTTTTTCCGCTAATAATGTCATGATCTCGCTACAATTGTTGGGAAATCCGCCCTGGCAGTCCTTCAAGCTTCCCCTCACCTCCCCCTCACCTTTCGTTTGCAGGGATAATGATTGTATTTT